AGAATTTCTTTTACAGTTATAATCCTCCGAGTCTTCTTTTGAGTAAGCTGTGAGTCCTTAATACAATTCATGCACACAAGTAACAAGGACACCTCATTCACTTGTAAAGCAACTAAAGCTTTACTTTGGGTTTAACCACTAATAAGACAAACCCGCTTATTTGGCTGATTTTGCCATAAATATTTTCCATTTTACAATGTAGCCAACCAGACAAGAACAGAAAAGCTATTTTGTTGTAAAATAGATCGTAAAGAAACCTTTCATGCAAAATAATTCCTCCTTATGTTTTGTTTAGAAAGAACATACTCTAAAAAAAAACCTAGGGTTGGTTAAGTCAGCAACCAAACTCTCAGGATTTAGATTTTGAAATCCCAGCGGAAACTGCCATTTATTTTCACCCTAATTTTAAAGCATTTTAGAAGAGCTATTAGTTTCTATAATAGCAGTCATATTAACGAAAACTTACCAAAGTCATTGTCGCAGAAAACTTCAAGTACTCTTTTGTGCGTAAAGAAGTCTTCCACTGCCGGGCAGGTCTGGCACACAGGCTTTGGTAGCACTGGTAAGAAATATTAAAGTCTCACCATTACCTTTTACAATCTTTTGTATTAGTTTGCTGATGTGAAAGTTGGGAGCCCACTGTTTAACTACAGCTGTGACAAGGAAAATATGCAACTGGACAGTGATAATGCAAATGTCTACATGCCTCCCTGAAAATATGGCTAGGGATGAAAAGGAGTTTAATCTTCCATGCCCGTTCAGTCCTTGTTCAGACTGACAAAGTCAGTTATCAGCATCAAATACTGTATTATAATTTTTATACGGCTATGGTGGGTGGAGAAGATGTTAGGTGCACAATTCTGTTAGCGGTCCTGGGTTCAGTTGGACAAGGATTGTAAATGTATGAATTTAGACGTGCCAACATCAGCCAATTTCTGCTCTTTTCTGCAGAAGTTAATAAGCCGAGCACACTTGAAGATTTGAACATTAATCTTGCAGTGTCTCAGGTTTCCCTAAGGAAAATCAGATAATGATTCCTCCAAACTTTTCTGAGCTCATCTAAGACCAATTCATTGTGGATATAAGTTTATCAGACCCCACAATGGTAAGGGCCATTGAAAAGCGTATAAATAGACTGGAAAATAAATCAAGTGTGCTGTAGTGGATATGATACTGACTGTATCTGTGCAGGACGACAATCATCTTCCTCCACTTATTAGACTATCTTCATGTTATTTTATTGAGACTATGCTGATTAATACCGGCTGAAATCTGGTCCAGATTACACTGCAAATATTAGCGCTTTCGCCTACTATGGGCACAAACAGTATTCATAGACATGACTCCATTTACAAAACTACACTATCTGGGAATCAGATACCCCTGTCTCTTCTTGATTCTGTGGAATGTACTGTATGGCCACCTTCCCCTTTCCCCTCTCTCATCTTCCATCTACCTTTGTGCAGGTATTTATATTCCTTTGCAAGAGATGCCAGACACATGTCCTCATCAGCAGGGAATCGTTCGCAGTCCAGACTGTCAGGCCAAGAGTGCCCATGGCAGGCCAGCACGGGTGCACAGCTGTCACGAACAGCAATGCACATACTCCTGCAAGGATGGATAAACCTGCGCCAAAGGAAATACAGGCTGAATCAGTTAAACTCACTCAGAGATAACAGAAGGTATTTCAATAGTAATTTCTATGCAAAGTACATCATCTTCATTGATATTTAACATCCTCCAATAATAGAGTTCCAGAAGTAGCAGCTGTGCATATTTTATGCAAGTGGTCTGCATACGGACTGGACTATGCTTATAGATTTAAGTCGCGGTTTTTAAAACATTTTTGATTACTATCTGAGAAATGATTCAGTAAAAGCATAACTCTATTCGCAAGAGGTGTTTGGTTTCAGTGGCACCTAGGTTCAATCCTAAACTAAAAACAAGAATAACATTCGGATGGCAACAAAATAAAACGTAATATTCTTTGGCCACAGCATTCTTTCTCTCTAAAGAAACTGAAGTCGAAGTGGAACATGTTTTCAGTATATTTTCCCCCAATGAGTAGGAAAAAAGGTAACAATTATGTCGGATAAATAATTGGAGTGAAGATTACCTTTAGATTAAGATAAACATGCATTTGGTTCGATCCCTGTTCTGGCAAAGAGGCTGGATTTTTATACTGTGATGTGGTACTTACGTATCTAAACAGATGGGTGCAAACAGAGAGCACAAGAACGTCCTCACATGCGGGTGACAGTCGGTGTGCACCAGGTGCTGCCAGGTGGTGGACTTCACAATAACCTCTGCCATGCTCGTATGTCCCATCAGGTTGGGAAGTCTCATTTCAGAGTACCCAATCTTGTGGCACATATCCATCTCCTTAGGTATAGCTACACACTTGGTGGATAATCCAATGTCAAAGCCCGTTGCCATTCTTAGGAAACCGCTCAGAGCAAAAGCGAGTATCTTTGCTGTCCAGAACATCTTCCAGTGACTCCTGGGCTGCTGAATACAAGTTATCAAAATCCCCAAAGCATAGGGGCACACGGAAAGCCTTGTGGCTTATATACCCCATGAGCTTACTGAAGCATTGGTTATCAACTGCTCACCAAATCACTTGAGACAAGACCTTGTCTTATTGCCTACTCAGGCGATTGTTGTGATAACCAGGGAGGTGGAGACAAAAGCATAGAAGTATGTTCCTTAAAGACGCAGATTTGATAGAGGGTTTCACATGCCTGACAGTGTCAGTTGCTGCAGCGTACTATGTGGCATATTAAATTTTGACACCTAGAAGGCTTGCTGTGTGCTTTCTAAATCAAATTAAGAGATCCCCTGGAAAAATGACTGGGCAGACAAGCTGTCTCCTAGGGCTGCTGTGTCTCCTTTGTTTTCAGACACCACTGACTGGGCAGAAAAAACAGCCCAGATGATTGACTTATCACGTGAAAATGTTTTGCCTGTGCTAATTGCTCGTGTCTCTTCCACTGCTTTACATTGTAGGAGATATACTTTCTTTATTTGGCCTAGTACTATAAAAAAAAACAGCTTGATGCTATTAAGATAACATTTGGTCTGGAAATTTAGATCCCTATACCATGACATGCTAAAAGTTCTAGCTTCTATTAATTTCAATAGGCACCCTAAAATACAGAACTGTTTTACTGATTAGGGCATCTGACTATCAGCTGGCTACAGAACTTCCACCTTTCATTTATTCAAGTTCAGTGGTGGAACATATATTTTCCGACAGAAAAATATTGTAGGACTACAGTGACTATTGGTATTTACTGGGAATGAAAAGATGGTTAAGCATATGAAGTTTTGTTATTATTTCAGGTGAACATGACTCCCCTTCAAATAATTCAGTGTTTCACATATTTTATTAAGTAATTATAATTACATGAAAATGCGTGAAAGCAAATACCAGGTGTGTACTTTTTCCATTTGTAGCGTAAAAGCCAGTATTAATTTCTGAAATAATAAATAAACAGAATTATTGACATAGATCATCATTACTATTCTTAGTGTAGTACTGAAAAACAGCTGTTTGCTGTAGATGTGAGGTTGGGGAATCAGTTAAGGTGACAGAGGAGCTGAGTAATACGTAGCTTACCTATTATGGATAGAAAAGTTTGATCATGAAACAGTTAAAGGAGCAGAAGATTTTAAAAAGAGATTTGATGAAAGCATTTCTTCCAACTAGATATGGTTGTTCATTTTTAATTCCGTTTCCTATTATATCATTTATTAGACATTTTTAGATATCAGTAATAGGCAGTTGGATTTACTAATATTAAATCTACTGTAAAATGTATAGCTTGATTAATAGTTTAAAATAAGAATGTTCGTAATAGTATAGCAGCTAGTAGTTACTGATGTTTGATTGAAACACATTTTTCAGAAACAGCAGATTTTTGCATTTGTAACTAGACGTAGTGCACTTGGACAATGTGGTGCATGTCATCTATATGCTTATACCTAAATGTTAGATTCTTACTCCCAGTATCAATGAGGTCAATAACCCCCCACTAATTTCTCCTTATCTGTTTTCTTTATTCTAAGTTACGGGAAAAATTACAGTTTCTGTTTAAATATGTTGAAAAAAAATGACAGCATGCAATGTTCTAGGAAATAAGGACATATTTAAAAAGAGAAATGCTCAGTTTTTCTTTTCATGGCTTGATTCTGGCTCTGAGTTTCTTACAATTAACGTAGTTTCTTGCTATCTCTTGTCTCACTTCAAAGCAGAGGAACCCAATTCCTAACCAGGCTGATTTGGCCCAATAAGACACCTCACGGTAGTATCTTTTGTCAGGTGCTTCATGTATTCCACAAGAAGTTAAAGAGCCTTGTTAAAACTCAGTGAAAGTCCTGTTCTTGCTATATCTATGTGGATATCACTGGGGGCCACAATTTCACATAGCTGTTCCTAGTATCATTTTGCAGCAAAAATATGGCAGAAAGTTGTCTCAAACAGAGGGAAGAAGACAGGTCTGTGCTCCAAGCCAACTGCAAAGCCTCTTTGAACTGGTCTTTCATGTGATCTGGCACTCAAGCAGACACCAAGCTAAGCCCAACTTCTATGCATGCACATAACTACCATTGAAGGCAATGGGCATTTTACTATTATCTTTAATTGGCAGGGGAAGCAGGAATTCACCCAGCACAGTAGCCTAGGGATATTTTATGCCTGGGCCATCCCCAGCCACAAGCTGTAAAAACAGCTTGGGGCTATTGGCAGGTGATGTAAGAGGAGAGAGACTCACCTGCTGCACAGCTCACACAGGTTCAAGAGATCTTATGGACACCCTGATATCCCTGATCCTGAGCGTCATCGTGGCACTCAGAAGTGAAACTGAATTTCAGTATACTTACAAACGCCCTCCCTTATGCAGCAGACTTCTGCATCCGTCCATGTGGTAGAAGTTTTTACAGAGTCATCCCTTAATTTTATGAAATGAATCAAATCCCTCTCCGGCCCTAATAGCATTCTTTTGTAGCACTTTTCTCATTTGGTTGTTACCTGAAATTAGGTGGCAAGATCTCTGGGGAAGGAACCCTTTCCATTGCATGCGTAGCCTGACGTTATACGCACGTTTCTGAGTGACATAAGGTATATATTAAGAAAAGGTATTGGGTCTCTTCATTATTTAGATGTTTCTCTCTGTGACTGTCTCACAGCCAACAAGAAAACCTGACTGATCCAAAAAATGGAATCAACTCTCTTATTCCAAATAATGAGGGGTTGAAAAATCTCATCTGACGGAGAAAAAAAGCAGAAGAAAAAAAAGAAAACAACTGATAATATGTTTTGGGGTCACCTTACAGAAGCACTCGCTAGGCTCCGGATGGAGGCAGCTTGCACTTCATAGGCCTAGGTACCCGAAAGGGAATTTCTCAACCCACCACGCTTTGGAGGGAGCACAGCTGCACGCCTATGGCCCTGCACACAAGCTAAAGAGCACATTTATATCCAGTGGCAGTAAGCTGGCAGGCATTAGCTGTTCCCACGTTGCCCGGTGAGAGAGGCCTCGGCAGTGCCTGCACGGGGACTGCCGCTGCCCTGACCGCCCGCGTGAGAGCTCCCTCGGAGCCATTAATAGACAGACGAGACATAATGAGGGGCTGTGAGACTGCGATGATCTAATAAGAGCTAATACCTCCCCTAACAAACCTTGTCTCCACAGGAACTTCCTTAGAAATAAATAATTGTCCATCTCTGAGTCACGGTTTCTTACTGGGGCTTCTCAGGGGGTAAATCATTTATGAACCACCACACACAGAGCTGCACCTTAAAGTTTCTTTTAGCCTCGGATGTGTCTCAAGGGAAGTCAACTGTATTTGAATTCCTTGCTTTTGCTGAGCTGACTTTCAGTGGGTCATAATTTTATAATTCTAAAGAAAATAACTTTTCGTTGCATGAATGCACCGGTATATTTGGAGGCTGATGGCTTGACCACTCTGGAGACTTAAGGCCTCAGTGCATCAGGAAGGAGCAGCACAAGCTACTGCTCCGCGCTGCCTGGCAAAGTGCTTCAGCCGAGAACCTGCAGGATTCAAGGGTGGAAGGGGAAGAAATTCCCCAATTTTATAGGTTGGTGCAGACTGTTAGAGGAATCACACAGTGGCTACCCTTCTGCACTGCTTCAGTTTCTTCTTGTTTTACTGTTTCCTTGTTGTTTTGACTAAAGTACTCCCAGGGAAATGACAAGTATGTATTTGTCATAAATTATGAAGCACGACGATTCTAAAGGCCCTTGACACAGCTGAAGAATTATCGCTGGCTCATACAAATGCCTTTGCTTGCTATCTATCGTTGCATTTGGGTTGAGCCTGGAGCCAAAGCCATATCATTACCTATAATTCCAGTCAGTCATTTTTGTTAGCCATCTTCTGTCAGAAAAGAGGATCATTTGGGGGAGCTTCTGGTTCTGGTCTCTTTTGACAGTCACTGGATTCAAGATATTTATTAGCTGGGTCAAATTGCTTAGCCTGTACTACTTTCAGCACCATCATT